CAGAAACCGCAGAGGGGCATGTTGCTTCCACATCCAGGAAGCCTCTAGAAGCAGCCAAGAAAATAAGAATGCACATGCTCCAGGTATTAAAATTGAGCAATGGATCTAAAAGGAATTTAAAACACTTGACCTTGGCTTCCTCATTTCTTGGTGTTACTTTTCCATGTGTATTGGTAACTAGTTATCTACATTTGGCATATACTGCTACTCTCAAGTATATACGGTAATGAGGACAACAGTTAGAAAGGCAAAAAATATGGGAAGCATCGTCCAGTTGTGGGAGGACCATTACAAGTACCTGGAAAACAATGTGCAAATTTCACCTTTGACTGTACCATTTACCTTGAATGGATAATGCAGTTACTAATATACACAATAGGGTATTATTCAGCCATGAGCAAGAAGGAAATCCTGCCATCTGCAACAACATAGATGGACCCTAAGGGCATTATGCTAAGTAAAATAAGCCAGACAGAGATCAATACTGTATGGTATCACTTATATGTGGAATCTGATTTCTTTAAAAGAAAGTCAAACTTAGAAACAAAGTAAAAAAGGGGGGAATAAGAAGAGGATAGTAAAAAGGTACAAACCCTCAAGTATAATATTTATAAGACCTGAGGATCTAATGTAAAAAACGTGGTGACTTTAGTTGATAACACTATTTTATATAGTTGCCATTTGCCGAGAACATCAATGTTCTCACACACACAAAAAGATAAATATGTTATGGATGCATTAACTAGATGGTGAGAATCCTTTCACAATGTGTATCAAATCATTACAATGTATACTTTAAATATCTTACAATGTTGTCAATTATACTTCAATAAAGCTGAAGAAAAAAGTACCATTTGCCCCTTACATCCACAGTGTTGTTGCTGCTTTTCTTAAGGCTTAATTACTCAGTCATCCAACATTTACTGAGGACAAACTCTTGGCCAGGCCCTGTGAATACTGTACCTGGTGGAGTTGTGTTATTCACATCATGCAAGTATCCTACCCTCTTCAAGAGCTCTAAGGACCCCAATACCTACTCTCAGCCTAACACCCTCCTGTGTTACAGGTCTCCCACCCCTACTCTTAGAGGACCCCAGCTACCATCAGACTCAGTCATCAAACAAATCTAAGCTCCATCCACACTGATTCCCTCCTCGGGGTGTTCCAGGGCCTCCCACTAGATTCCAGAACAATGGCTTTAAATCGTAACTTCCATTATGAGGCACATTCCAAGAAACTCGTTACTAATAATCAAATCCCAAAGGGGTTTATTTTCTATAAATTAGAGGAGACTACAAGTTAGCCTTTCATAGTAGGCATTCTTTGTCTCCAGCTTGCATCCATTATTTCCCCTGGTTCCCTTTGGGGAACTGCCCCTCTCCAAACTCAGACCATACGGCTCAATGGAAATAATCTTACTCTTAGTTCCAGGTGGGCATGTGGCTCAGGCCTGGCCAATAAGAGCCCTACATTCACATGGCCATGACTAGACATGAACTGGCACATGAGACCACTGCAGTTTGCAGGCAGTTAGGTTGTAAATCTACTACCAAGCTTGGGCAAGAATGAGACCCACATAGTTCAGCACAGCGGAGTTACAGAAACATGAATCAAGCCTCTTGATCCTGCCAGGATGACTCCCAGATTTTCAGTTACTTCCCTGTTCCAAAGCAGGTGAGCATTGCTCGTAGCTGGCAAATGCTCACACAACAGAACAGTGATGGCGAACCTATGACACGTGTGTCAGAGGTGACACGTGAACTCATTTTTTTGGTTGATTTTTCTTTGTTAAATGGCATTTAAATATATAAAATAAATATCAAAAATATACATCTTTGTTTTACTATGGTTGCAAATATCAAAAAATTTCTATATGTGACACGGCACCAGAGTTAAGTTAGGGTTTTTCAAAATGCTGATATGCTGAGCTCAAAAGGTTCGCCAACACTGCAATAGAATATTCCTCTTCTGACTGCAAGTTGAAAGCAATGTGAGCAATATAGGTAGATATTATCCTATATAATAAAGAGCTAATATGAAGAAAACCTTACGGACGAAGCCGGGGCTGTGAGGGCCAGCCAAGGCTGCGAGGGGCTGCAAGGGCTAGCCGAGGTTGCGAGGGCCAGCAGAGGCAGCCAGCGCTGCAAGGGCTGGCTGGGGCTGCAAGGGCCAGCAAGAGCTGGGAGGGCCAGCCGAGGCAGCTGGGCTGCGAGGGCCAAGCCCTTTGCACGAATTTTGTGCATTGGGCCTCTATGCACAAAATATGCAATTTGCTAATATGCAAATCAACCAAACAGCAGAACGACCAGTCACTATGACACACACTGACCACTAGGAGGCAGACGCTCAACACAGGACCTCCCCCTGGTGGTCAGTGCACTCCCACAGGGGGAGCACCACTTAGCCAAAAGCCCTGAGCCAGGCTCATGACTGGCGAGTGCAGCAGTGGTGACTGGAGCCCCTCTCCCACCTCCTTGGCAGCGCTAAGGATTTCCAACTGCTGGCTTAGGCTCTCCCCGTGGGCCTAAGCCATCAGTCAGACATCCCCTGAGAGCTCCTGGACTGCGAGAGCGCACAGGCTGGGTTGAGGGACTGCACCCCACCCCCAGTGCACTAATTTCATGCACTGGGCCTCTAGTATGTAATAAAAGGTGTGTGAAACCAGTTTCATCATGTGCAGAAGATACTTCTAGTTTGGGAAGATATTCAAAAATCACTATCTGAAATTTGTGAAAATTGTCTATCTGTAGCTAATGATTTTAGTCTAACTTAGGATGCTCAAAATACTTGGGTTTCAATTTGAGCACATTTCATCTCAAAGATGAACGTGTGGTCCTACATTTTGTCTGTGCATCTTTCTTTGGCATCAGCTTGAGAGCCTTCCAAATGAAAGATGGTCAAATGGCTCCTCTTGTGACATGTGACACTGTGCTGCAGAAACCACTGGTCACCAACTCCTATGACCATGGGCTATCCAGGTGTCCAGAATTCGGTACTGTGGAGCTTAGAAGTCCAACCCATGGTTCTCAGGGACCCTCTGACTGCTTATTCCCTGAAGGCAAGACCCCTACAGACCTGCAGAGCAAGCCTTGATGTGGAGGACTGTGGCAGGAGGCTGCTTAAGCTGCCCCTGTTGTGGACCGAGTCCCAGCTCCAACCCTCCAGGAAGGTAGCCTGAGCTCCAAAAGGGCTCACAAAACCCACTGCCTCCCCTCTACTGGTAGCACACAGATGGTTTTCCTGCAGTTAATCTTTGATTGCCCCTCTCCTTGTATCTTAGCAGCCAAGAGGTAAGTGGTTGTTTGTACACTGCAGTTGAGTTTTATATGTACATGAAGGCAACTATGCTAAATTTTAAGATTCTTGGTTTTAAGAAACATGTGTGTAAGTAACAGTCCTCACAGCCAAAAGTTCTAGTGTAATCTATCAATTCTAGGAGAAAAAGGAGAAAGATGACCAAGACTGGAGTAGAACAAGTGTTCAGGAACTAAGCATGGCTATCAGAAGCCACTAAAAATAAATGCAATGCTGGAGAGAGCAGGAGGGTGTGGCAGAGCAAGAGGGCCAGATGACGAGTCAGGCCATGGCTATGGTGGACATCGGGAGCCACATTACTACCCAGAGCGAGGGTCTCCATAGCACATCCACACCTCACATATATATAGGAGTCTGATAGATTCACATCCTATTGCCTTGTACAGCTGTGTGACCATTTATTGTAACATTTCTGTAGGAAAGAGTTGTAAAGAATAGGAATATGTTGTATACAAACTGCTTTTGCCTGGTGCACTTTGTTCAACAAACAATGGTATTTATTATTATGTATCATCATCATCATTTAGGCAAGAGTCCTACTCAGAAACGGTGATCCAAAGGATGGGCTACTTGCTACTACCAGAATCACAAGTCTCATTTTTTCAATAGTGAACAGGTTGCTATAAACAGGTCACTGACCTTCTGGGACTAATAAGCCTAAGGACAAAGTATGGAGGTAGCAGAAGTGAAAGGAAGTTCTCTGTCTACTTGCATTAGATAAAACCCCATCAGCTCGCCTGCCCACACTTGTTCTTTTTTCCCTTCTCCATTAACTTGCAGGGTCAGGTACAATAAATAATGAACACGAAACCTTCCTACTTATGACTACCGAAAGCATCTTTCTTGCACATGGCTTAAAATATTGTGCATATTAGCACATCGTGCCTGATACTGGATTAACACACATTCATCATATTTACAGACAGATCACCCACATATGAAATTGTCTATCATTTCAAAATGGTACAACCTACTTAAAGATGTCAGGTTTTAAGCCCTGCCTTAATAAAGTTTTAGAAATTGTTACACATACATTAACTTTCCTCTTTATCTTTTGAGCATAAGTGCTAACTGACTGAAGCTAGAAATAGCCTTGCTTTTTAGCCTCTTTGTTTTATTGTGCCACTGAGGTTGTTTCAGCCCTCTCATCAATCGCCTGTGATCCAAGAATGGAAAAATGGTTTGAGTCATAAAATATGTGTAGCATTGGTAGATATGATCAAGCTGAACCACAAAGGCATATATAACCACTAACGCTAAACCTTAGAAATAAATCAGGCCAGACAGAAGTAACATGCTCATCCTTCACGGCAATGTTAGTATTTAGTGACACATCACCTCCCCGACCCACTCCCTTCTGATTTGGGTACTCTTCCCCGTGTCTTATGGATCCTATATATGCATTATTCTATCAGCAATAATCTCACTGTCCTGCAATTATTAATTTAAACAATTGCCTTCTCAGAAGATTGGAGGGAAAGAAGCATATTGATAGTACTCAGCCTGGAACCTCAAACATAGATATGTACAAATACAGTGAATATAAGACATGTGCTTAAAGAATTCAAAAGACAGGAGACAGCATTAAAAAAAAAAAAAAGAAAACATCAAATTTAATTTAAATTAAAAAAATCAGAAATTATCTGGAAAAAACAATGGAGCAAATCAACTCCTAAAAAAGAGGGCTGTTTTTGTGATCACATTTATTAGAAGGGTTGGAGAAAAATAAAAATGCCATTTAGCTTTAGAATTTGTGAGTTATGTGCAAATAAACTCATTTCAGGAGCAGAAGAATCCTTGGTCATTTCTTAATATCAAAATTTACGCAGGTTTCTCCTTTGAATATCTTCTACCTTTAAAGACGCAATCATATAAAGTCTCCTAATTTCCACACAGGATATATTCTTTGTTTCAACCAACTCTCAATGGAGGGGCAACTAGGACAACACCATCTCCCCGGACAAAAAGCATTGGAATATTCCGTTTTGTTGACTGGAAGAAGAAAAAAACAAAAAAACAAAAAACACATTTACACAAATATGTAGTAGTATTATTTATTTGTTGTTGTTTTTCACAAGAGAAATTTGAAAACACACACAGATTCATTATAACACAAATAAACTGATTAAAAAACCTGATTACTTACCTTTGTAGTACAAAGAAAAACTATCTGTTTACTGTTTACTTTTCCTGGATATCAATAACTGGGGCAGAGACGGCACTATCCACCAATATCCATTCCCCTCTTCTGGCACACAGCTACACTCAGGCACACAGCGGGCACACAGCTATATTTCTCATACTCCCTTGCAACTAGGTATAGCCATGAAATTGAATTTTAACCAATGAGAAGTAAACAGCAGTGACTGAGTGATCCATAAACCTCCCATATATTTCCTTCTATGGTCTTCCTCCCACTGCTGGAGAATCCATGGGATGGCAGAACCCTAAGATAAAGGAAGCCTGAGCCCCTGACTGAGCATCTGGAAGAAAGCTATTGTACTGACCTAAAACTTCACTCAGGATGGTAATGAGGGGAGAAATAAAATTCTATTGTGCATTACATGCTGTTACCGCACTCAAACATATGAAATGGATACCTTGGGGTGTTTGTCTGCCTAGGTGTCAAGCCTTAGGCAGTAATGAAACAGATATGGAATGTCTGAAATCCTCTTATGCCTTGGGAAACACATGGTAAGACGGCCTGCAATGACTTGGAAAGTAGTCCAAGGACCTCCCAAACCTATAGGTTCTAGGGGAAGAGATTGGAAAAGTCAAATTTTGGTAGGTGTTGCTGTTAACCTGATGCACTCAGCAAGGAGTATAAGAAAGAGATAAGCTCAGAAAAGAAGTAGCTGGTTTTCAAGCAGAGATTGTAAGAAATAGTACACAAAGGGTTAGAAAAGCCAATTGTTTTTAGACCCCAAACTGTAGACATAAGTAGGAAAAAAAGCTTTGAGGAACAAAGCCCAGTAAAACTTCTCAGTTAACAAACCCAGCCCTGCCCGACTGGTGTGGCTCAGTGGTTGAGTGTCAACCTATGAACCAGGAGGTCACAGTTTGATTCCCGGTCAGGGCACATGCCCTGGTTGCAGGCTTGATCCCCAGTGTGGAGCATGCAGGAGGCAGCCAATCAATGGTTCTCTTTCATCATTGATGTTCCTATCTCTCTCTCCCTCTCCCTTCCTCTCTGAGATCAATAAACATATATTAAAGAAGAAAAAAAAAACCAACAACCAAAAAACTCAACTCTAGACAAAGATCAGATTAATGGTATTGCTTCCCACCTAAACTCACTTTAGCAAGTGGCCTCAAAGTAGTGAACATTAATTTGAGGGACAGGAATACAGGTGAGAAGTAAATAAATAAAGGCATCTACAAGTTATGTCTAGGAAAAAAACAGTGACTGGGGATACTGGATCACAGAACTGACTGGAAGTAACCAGATTTATGGTCTAAATAACAGAAAAATCATAAACAGAAATAGGGAATTTTTGAAGGTGAAAAACACCAAGAGTTTAGTTTTAGATGTACTAGATTTAAGATAACATCCAAAGTGGAAAATTTTTCAATAAGAATGTTGGAAATGAGAGTGAAACTCAGAAAAGGAAGGAAACTGATGATGGATTTATACATAATCATAATTATGATTATGTATAATCCTATTACAACATGCCACCAGCTTTCCATGCACCAAATTCAGTGCATCCTATTATAATCCTGGGAGGCAAACACAGGTATTGGCATTTTACAGAGGGGGTTCCCACCCTGGCTGGTGTGGCTCAGTTGGTTGGGCTTGTCCCATGCACCAAAAAATTTGCTGGTTTGATTCCCAAACAGGGCACACTGTCCGGGCTGCAAGTTGCAGACTCAATCCCCAGTAGGGAGCGTGCAGGAAGCAGCCGATGGATATTTCTCGCCTCCCTTCCTATCTACCAAATCAATAAACTATTATTTAAGAGGGGGAAAAAAAGAAAAAACAGAGGGGGTCCCGGAGGCCTAGAAAGTTTCTATAATTTTCCCAAAGTCAGTCAGCAGCAGCAGCAGTAGCCAGGATTTCAACCTGGATCTAGTAAGACCCCAAGCTTTTATGCTGTACTGATTACTGTCATAGACTCGTGGCTGATAACATACAATAGTTACTAATGACATGTCTGAGGGAAAGAAATGCAGGTTAAAAAAATAAAGCCCATGTTCAGCGAGAGAAAGAAATTAAACTAGCACCAGAGTCAGGAGTGGTTGAAGAGAAGAAAAAAGCCATGATAAAGCAAAACTACCAACAAAGGCTAACATGTGAACACTTACTATATACCTATTGCTAATCTGAAGGCTCTTCAAGTAACCTCTCTGTGAATCAACAGCTGTATTAACTGGGTCCTACTACTAGCCCCACTTTACAGACAAGGAAACTTGGCCACAGACAGGTGGATAATTTGGTACAACTATATCGCTGGTAAGCAAGGGAGTCAAGGTTTGGATCCAGATTTAAACCGTTATACTCTAAGAGGGCTAAAGACCGGCTTCCCAATACTTAAAAACAAATGGGATTTTCTTTTTTTTATATTTGAAGAATGAAATGTGCCAACATTTGGAAGAGCTGCATAACTCAGTGAACTAATATTTTCCAAATTACCAGTAGTTGATGTTATAAAATCATGCATGTGTAAAAGATTCACTCCAAGTGCAAGGTAGACCAATTAATTTGCATATAACAAGAGTGTGAAAAGTTCATGAACATGGTTTCAGATTACACACTGCAACTAACATTTAAGAAACCAGTATTCTTGAGTTTGGGTATAGCATCAAAGGCAAATAACCACAAAATATACCCCCTCCTTTGTCCAACTGTGAGAGGTCAGATTTTCTTCAATTATAATATATCACAACACGCCGAAACCAGTTTGGCTCAGTGGATAGAGCGTCGGCCTGCGGACTGAAAGGTCCCAGGTTCGATTCCGGTCAAGGGCATGTACCTGGGTTGCGGGCACTTCCCCAGTGGGGGACGTGCAGGAGGCAGCTGATCGATGTTTCTCTCTCATCGATGTTTCTAACTCTCTATCTCTCTCCCTTCCTCTCTGTAAAAAATCAATAAAATATATTTAAAAAATAATAATAATAATAATAATATATCACAACACATTAAATGCAGAAAAAAGTTGTGAGAAGCTAGATGTAATTAATTAAGCCACGCAATAAAGACTTTTGCAAAAATGTGAAACAAAGTCACTTCTCTATAAATAGTATTTTAGAAAATAGTCATAAAAATGTTACTCATATTAACATAAGATTATTTTTAATGAGTTAATAAATATTTTTTAAATTTACAAGTTTCTCTATTAAGTATTGATAGATCAAGTCCATATCAAACAAAAAAAGCATTATCCAGTATAACTGCCACATAACAGTGCACACAGGCTTCTTACATTGTCATATCGTAATGAATCATAGTATTCCTGCTTACCAATGAGGAAATTAAGCCTGCAAAGTTAATTCCCTTGCCCAACGCACCCCTGTATGAAGTGGCCAAACCAGTATTGAAAACCAGGTCTGTTTGACCCCAACGCTTTGCTTTTGCTATACTCCACTGAGCCCATGAGTAGGAGTCAAAACATGGTAGGCTTGCTATAAACAAATGTTAAGCTGTTGAATGTTAAGAGTAATTGGCATTTTAAAAACAATGAATAGACTTGTGTGACTTACTTTATATATCTCTTCATATGTTTCTTCATCAATTTCTATAGTAGTCACAGTTTCTTCCACATCTCCCAATATCATATTTAAATGTTGATCATAAGCCTGAAGTGGGAGAGTGAGGGACAAAGAAATTTAATAAATTAAGGAACAATGAACAAGACTTACAATATGCAAATGGCTCCATACAAGTAACACATAACACTTATACCACAAACTTCTATCCTTCTATATAATAAAAGGGTAATATGCAAATTGTCCCCTTCCCCGGGAGTTCTACCAGGGCGCAGGGCCAGCCCGCCAACCGCCCGGGGCCCCTCCCCACAGCCAGCGCAGCCCGATCAGCCGTGCACAAATTTGTGCACCGGGCCTCTAGTATGCAAATAAAAAATAATCTTACTAGCCCCGGTTGGTGTTGTTCAATGGTTAGCATGTCCACCGGCGCACCAAAGGGTCGAGGGTTTGATTCCCGGTCAAGGGCACGTACCTGGGTTGTAGATTTGTTCCCAGCTTGGTTGGGGTGTGTTCGGGAGGCAACCAATCCATGTGTCTCTCTAACATCCATGTTTCTCTCTCACCCCCCCCCCTTCCTCCTTCCCTTCCACTCTTTCTAAAAAAGAAAGAAAAATCAATGGAAAAAATAACCTCAGGTGAGGGTTAACAAAAACAAAAAACAAAAAAAATAAAGGATTTATATGTACTCATGATCAATGATTTCTAGGAAAGATTAAGTGAAATAAAAAGGCATTCAAAACTTTGTGTAGTAAGATCCCATTTATTTTTTATTTTTTTAGGAATGGTATGTGTGTGTGTATGTGTGTGTGTGTATATATATACACACACATATATACATATACATACACATACATATATACATATGGACATATATATGCAAATATATGCATATGGACATATATATAAATACTAGAAGCCCAGTGCATGAAATTAGTGCACTGGGTGGGGGGTGGGGGGTGGGGGGGGAGTGTCCCTCAGCGCAGCTTGAGCCCTCTTGCAATCCGGGAGCTCTCAGGGGATATCCGACTGCCAGCTGAAGCCCACTCCCTATGGGAGCACACTGACCACCAGGGGGTAGCTCCTACATTGAGAGTCTTCCCCCTGGTGGTCAGTGCACATCATAGTGACCAGTCATTCTGCCATTCGGTCAATTTGCATATTAGCCTTTTATTATATAGGATATACATGGAAAGATCTATAGACTCAATTTTTAATTTTTAATAATGGTTACCAATAGAAGAAATGGGATTTCACCTTTTACTCTATGTATTTGTGTTGTTTTATTTTTTTCACAAGAAAACACAAATTTATGTATATGTCAGTAATTTAAAGAACATTTAAGTATGAATGGAGAAATGTTATTTGCAAGTAAACAGAAGAGACAAAAATGAAAGAAATGAACATGTTCTTTAATAAACACATCATTTCTGTTAAGAGAAAAAAATGTTAAAACTATGAATAAAATACAGTTGTATTTGACTTATGAAATACATACAGTCATATTTGACTTATGAGGCCTTCCACCTCGCTCTCCTCTACATTCAAAAGATTCCTCTACAGTAGACAGTTTTTACATTTGACGGGTTTAGGGTAGGGAGGGATGACAAGGAAATAATATGATTACTTACATGTAATCTACCTCTAAGCTCTCTGTCATTTCTCATTTTCACATAAATTCGCTCATCCAGGCTGAGCCTGATAAGATCCAGGGGCTCTTCTACAGTGTTGGTAGTTTGTTGCTGATAAAAGAAGCAGGCATAGTAATGACAATTACTAGAGAGAATGCAGCACTCAAATCAATGCCATGTTGTGTGATGTGGGCAAATAACATAACTCCTCTATGTCTCAGTCTCATAATTTGTAAAATGTGGATAACAATATTGCCTACCTAATACCAAGGATTACATGACATATATGAAGGCTTAGAACACTACCTGGCACAAAGCGCTATACAAATGAGGTCTGAAACATACATACACAGGAAGAAGTTAGCAATATAATCAGGACTGTACTCTGTTCCTTCACAGTACAAATTGTTTGACCCAATTTCAGGGTATAAGGAGTCACTCTCAGGGACATTAGCCTTATCTCAAATATCATTTAGTAGAGTAATTTGAAAAACATTCCCTTAATGATTACTACACACTAGTCAGAATGCTAAGCAGAGATGAAGGTTTGAGAGAAGACTAAGTTCATATAGGGCAGGCTGACTTTTGGGTGCCTAATAGCCAAAAAGAGCAATACACTCAGCAGATAGTATAGAATACTGGCTGAAAGCACTGGCTTTGGAATCAGGCAGTGTGGGTTCAACTCCTGAATCTGATACTTATGAATTGAGATTAGAAATTATGCCATCTCAGCCCTGGCCAGGTGCTCAGTTGGTTAGAGTGTTATCCCAATACACCAAGGTTTCAGGTCTGACCTTGCGTCAGGGCACTACAAGAATCAACCAATGGACAACAAGATGGCACACAAAGCCACTAGGGGGTGCACCAAGAAAGCACAAAAAATGCAGAGACAAAGAAACAGGACAGAAATGGAGGAAGGCAAAATGCTGGATATAAAGCTCAAAACCACACTTTTAAGGTCTCTCAAGAACTGTCTCGAAGCCGCCGATAAATTTAGTAAGGCCCTCGAAAAGACTGGTGAGGCCGCCGATAAATATAGTGAGATCCTCAAGAAATCTAATGAGACCCTCGATGTTGTGATAAAGGACCAACTAGAAATTAAGCATACACTGACTGAAATAAAGAACATTATACAGACTCCCAACAGCAGACAAGAGGAGCGCAAGAATCAAGTTAAAGATTTGAAATGCGAAGAAGCAAAAAACACCCAACCGGAAAAGCAAAATGAAAAAAGAATCTGAAAATACGAAGATAGTGTAAGGAGCCTCTGGGACAGCTTCAAGCGTACCAACATCAGAATTATAGGGGTGCCAGAAGAAGAGAGAGAGCAAGATATTGAAAACCTATTTGAAGAAATAATGACAGAAAACTTCCCCCACCTGGTGAAAGAAATAGACTTACAAGTCCAGGAAGCGCAGAGAACCCCAAACAAAAGGAATCCAAAGAGGACCACACCAAGACACATCATAATTAAAATGCCAAGAGCAAAAGACAAAGAGTGAATCTTAAAAGCAGCAAGAGAAAGAAACTCAGTTACTACAAGGGAATACCCATACGAATGTCAGCTGATTTCTCAACAGAAACCATGCAGGCCAGAAGGGAGTTGCAAGAAATATTTAAAGTGATGAATACCAAGAACCTACAACCAAGATTACTTTATCCAGCAAAGCTATCATTCAGAATTGAAGGTCAGATAAAGAGCTTCACAGATAAGGAAAAGCTAAAGGAGTTCATCACCACCAAACCAATATTATATGAAATGCTGAAAGGTATCCTTTAAGAAGAGGAGGAAGAAGAAAAAGGTAAAGATACAAATTATGAACAACAAATATGCATCTATCAACAAGTGAATCTAAGAATCAAGTGAATAAATAATCTGATGAACAGAATGAACTGGTGATTATAATAGAATCAGGGACATAGAAAGGGAATGGACTATTTTTGGGGGGGCGAAAGGGGTGTGGGGGATGCGGGAAGAGACTGGACAAAAATCGTGCACCTATGGATGAGGACAGTGGGTGGGGAGTGAGGGCGGAGGGTGGGGTGGGAAATGGGAGGAGGGGAGTTATGGGGGGAAAAAAGAGGAACAAATGTAATAATCTGAACAATAAAGAGTTAATAAAAAAAAAATAATAATAATAACAATATATTAAACAAAATGAATCAACCAATGAAGGTAAAAGTAAGTGAAATGTCTGTTTCTGTCTGTCTGTCTCTCTCTCTCTCTCAAGTCAATAAATAAAAATTGGGGGGGGGGGGGATTATAGCATCTCTAATTCTATTTCCTTTTCCTTGTCTATAAAATAAGGAAGCCACAATCTTCCCATCATGACTCTTATGAGGATTAAATTAACTAATGTATAGCCCTAGCTGGTATAGCACAACTGGCTGAGCATCATGCCATGCACTGAAAGGTCGCCAGTTTGATTCCATCAGGGTACATGCCCAGGTTGCAGGTTTGATTCCTGGTGTGTGCAGCTGATCGATGTTTCTCACATTGATATTTCTCTCTTTCTCTCCCCCCTCTCCCTTCTTTGATCTCTAAAACCAATAAAAACACATTTTAAAAAATTGAGCTAATGGCCCAGGTAGCATGGCTCACTAGCTGAGCATCGACCTATGAACCAGGAGGTCACAGTTCGATTCCAGGTCAGGGCACATACCTGGGTTGCAGGCTCGATTACCCAGTGGGGGATGTGCAGGAGGCAGTCAACCAATGATTCTCTCTCATTGATGTTTCTATCTCTCTCTCCTCTCCTTTCCTCTCTGAAATCAATAAAAATATATACACATTTTTTAAATTTAGCTAATGTATTTAACATTGTATCTGGCAAACAGAAAGTACTTATAAATGGTTGTCACTGTTTCTATTGAAGAACCATTGGAAAAGGTCTCAGAGATCAGGGCCATGATGACTTGGGATCATCCATGTGAAAGGGATGGCTGAAGAAGAGTTGATAAAATTATTCAAGGAGAGCTTCTTCAGTGAGTACACAAGGCCACTGGAAGGTGACTGAACTTTACAGGCTCTACAGTCTGAAAAGGCTAGATGAGGGGAGAAAAAATATCCTGAGCTCAAAAGGTGTTTGTTTAGAAACAGCTAACCAACTAGATTATAATGATGCAGAAGTCAGTCCCTGCCCTGTAAAAGCTCATTCTAGTCAAGAGAGGCATATAAATAATTAAACACTACTATAGGCCTGGTGCACGAATTCATACACGGGTGGGGTGCCTCTGCCTGGCCGGCGATGGGGGCCAATCGGGGCCATCTCGTCCAGCCCCATCTCACCCAGCCCCATCTCACCCAGTCCCCATCGGCCAGACCCCAGCAGCAAGCTAACCTACCAGTCAGAGCATCCACCACCCTGGTGGTCAGTGTGCGTAATAGCGACTGGCCGAGCAGTTGACAGAACAGTCGATGGATTGGTTGCAGACACTTAGCATATTAGGCTTTTATAGAGAGAGATAAGAATATACACATGACAGAAGCCTACTTTAGCCTCAGTCTGTGATGCCTGCAGTCTACCCTTTTCATTCTGTAGCTTTAAATATTGCCTTTTCAATGAGGCCTCCCAATTCAATCAATGTGTTGAGTGTTTCCAGCGCTGTTCTAAACAGGGAAGACAGAATAGTGAACAAAACAAAACTCCTGCTCTTAAGAAATCCATTTCTGGCCCTGGCCAGTTTGGCTCAGTGGATGGAGCGACAGCCTGTGGACTGAAGGGTCCCAGGTTCGATTCCGGTCAAGGGCATGTACCTTGATTGCAGGCACATCCCCAGTAAGCGGTGTGCAAGAGGCAGCTGATCAATGTTTCTTTCTCATTGATGTTTGTAACCCTCTATCCCTCTCCCTTCCTCTCTGTAAAAAACTCAAGAAAAAAAAATTTTTTTTTTCAAGAAAGAAATCCATTTCTGGGTGGACATGGGGGGGGCAGGAGATAGACATTAAACAAAGCTTATACTAATATGAACAAATAACATGCTATGAAGAAGGAAAAAAAGACTGGGAGAGTGCTCTTTTATGTAGGTGGCCAAAAAGTCCTCTGATGAGAGGTGAGATGTCGGTAGACATTGTGGCCTGATCCACATTGATACCCGAGGAAGAGTATTTTGGGGAAAAGGAAGGTCAGGGACAAAGCCTGCAGGGCTATCAGTTCTGCATACCGCTCCTGGCTTGTTTCCTTCTCGCCACATCACAGCTCCTATACATCCCACTCGTCTATGTTTAATTTTTACCTGTCCTCCCCCGCAATACAAGCTCCAAGTGGGAACAGTGGTCACGTATGTCAATGCTGGTGACCCTGGTGCGCTGAACGGTGTCTAACCATACAAAGCTGATGTTCCCTAAGCATTTGTTGAATGAGTAATAATTGTTGCGCTCAGTAACGATAAGATTCCTTAACTTCACTGTCACGCTATCAGAATCCGGACAGCTCCGCGAGGCAGGCAAGGATCATTATCCCCATTCTGTAGATAAAAGCGCGACTCAGAGAAAGGAAATGGCGAGCGAGCGCAGTAACAAGTTTTCCGGCGGACTTCTAAAAGAAAAGCCGTCAGGGCCTGGGCCCGTGAGACCCGGAGAGAGTCGGCAGGATCGGCGACCTTGGAGAAAGCCGCCCTGGTACGCAAAGCCAAGCAGGGAAGCCGCCGGTGAGCGACCTCCTCAGCAAACACTCACCTGGTCCACGTCGTCCGCCATGTTTCAAACCCTGCGCCCTTTCCCGCCTCTCGCGAGATCTCTCCAGCCCGTCGAGGCTCCGGAAACGCGAGTGCGCAAGGCACCGGAAGTGAAAAGAAATCTGTTTTGCTCTTTCTTGCTTCCCGCGGTGTGCACTGGTCGTTGGGGCGGAGTTGCTTCCTGAAGCGTCCGCAGGGCCTATAAAAGGCAGGGGCGTGGCCATGCCGCTTCCCGCCTGGGGGCGTGGCCGGAGCTCGTGCTGTGGTCCGCGGCGTGGTGCGTCACTCGCGAGGCGAGTCTGGCCCGAGCAAGATGGCTCGGAAGCGGGCGGCTGGCCGGGGTTCTCGCGGACGCGAGCCACGCGGCCAGAAAGCCAAGGGCGAGGAGAAGGAGGCAGGTGAGAGCGAGGCCAAGCTGGACTTAAGGGGAGATGCTGAAGACGATCCGGAAGCAGGCCCCGGTGCGGGATGGGGTAGGCCGGCCCCTTGGAGGTGGGGGGCGGAGGCTGCTCCTCGCCCATCTGCGCCGCGGAGCGAGGTTCCCGGGGCAAGTGGTTGCGCAGCTGCCTGGGTCCTCCCGGACGTCGCTCTGCCTTTGTCCTCACGCGAGGAGTGATGCACCCCGAGCGGTTCCCCTGAAACTCAGCCTCACCACGAGCTCCCCCGCGCAGCCTCTTTTTTGCTCCCTGTTTGTCTACACTCACAGGACAAAGTTCATCCTCCTGGTAGATGCAAAGGGCTAGATAGGGAAAAGGCACTGCAGTTGCTGTGTCCCCCGAGGACGGTGGCCCAGGACATGGAGCGCTGTAGCGTGCTGACCCCCAGAATAATATCGTCAGCCGAATCTCACCCCAGAGTACAAGATTCGGATCCAGCCTGATTTGCACGATGATATCAAGTGTTTGTCGTGGGCAAAGCAAAAACGCTTGGTTTTCTTCTTTCAGCTTCGCTCTTCTCCACTTTTTCCCACCGCAGTAAATGATACCTTCACCCACTAGTTACAGCAAACATCCAAGCCGTCAGCAAGTCCTGTCAGTTGAGCCTCAGAGCTATAATCTCAGTCCTCCCCACTTCTCTTTATTCTCACGCCACAGACCCTGCCCAAGCCATCACTTTTCAGTTGAACGACTGCAGTTGCCGCTTTACTGGTCTCCCCACTTCCCTTCCCCTCCCCCTGCAATAGTTCACCCAGGAGCCCAAGTGATCTTAAAAAAAAAAAAAAAGATCATAACGCGATCGACTTCAAACTCCCTGTGTCTTTCCATTGCTCTTGGCGTAAACTCAAAATTCCTCATCATGGTTTGCAAGACCTTACATGATTGGGCTGCCGCTACCTACCTATTGCCTCCTGCCCCTCTTTTCTTTGACAGATACTCCCCTTACTGGCCTCCTCTGTTTTTCAAACATGCCATGTTATTTCTTAACCCCGAACCTTTGTCTTTGATGTTCCTTCTGCCTAGAAGGTTGTTCCATGGCTCTTGCCATGGCTAATTCTTCTACTCCTTCAGGTCTCAACTCAGATACCAGGTACTGCCTGTCACAGAGGCCCTCACAGCCTCTGCCACAAACTGTGATGATCTTGTTCATTTATTTGCTTCCTTTTTGATTGCCCATCTTACTAAAATTTAAGCTTCATGAAAGCATTTTATTTTTTTGCTGTATCCTCTTTTGCCTCTCCCTGCATATACTGAGTGCTCAATAAATATATATTTTTAATTTTTTTAATTGAGTTTATAGAGAAGAAGGTGGGGAGAGAGAGAAACATCAATTTGAAAAACATTGATTAGTTTTCCCACTTATTTATGCATTCATTGGTTTATTCTTGTATATGCCCGGACTGGGGAATCAAACCTGCAACCGTGGCTTACCAGGATGATGCTCCAACCAACTCAGCTACCCAGCCAGGGCATTCGATAAATATTTTTAATAATCACAAACTGCATGCTGTAGAGCAGGGGTAGGGAACCTTTTTTCTGCCAACGGCTATTTGGATGTTTATCATATCATTCGAGGGCCATACAGAATTATCAACTTAAAAATTAGCCTGCTATATTTGGTCAGACATTTAATTAACTCACCCCTAATGCCTTGGCAGGGCCAGACCAAATGATTTTGCAGGCTGGATCTTCCCCACCCCTGCTGTAGAGGGACTCCTGAAAAAACTGGGTAATAGATTACACTAGGTAACCAGCAGGGGCTCCTATGACACAAGATTCAACAATTCTGTGATTCTTTTTTTACATATATATATATATTTTTTTTTTATAGATTTTTTTACAGAGAGGAAGGGAGAGGGATAGAGAGCCAGAAACATCAATGAGAGAGAAACATCGATCAGCTGCTTCCCGCACGCCCCCCACTGGGGATGTGCCCACAACCCAGGCATATGCCCCTGACTGGAATCAAACCCGGGACCCTTGAGACCACAGGCTGACACTCTATCCACTGAGCCAAACTGGTTCTGGCCTGTGATTCTTTATATATTGTCAAGTTCTTCATCTATTGGGAAGTAGTCAAATGCTAACAGTTTTTAAACTTAAAAGGTGATTAGCTATGAGTTCCACTTCATTCATTTACTACTTACTCAAATAACATTTGAATATTTTCTGAGTACCAACTGTGTGGTGTACACGAGCTGAGTGACATGGGAGATATTTCTTGGAGGAGCGTAAAGTATAATAGTGTTGACATTTACAAAGAATATTCAAGGCAAAGTGTGATACCATGGGAGTAGATACAGGGCTTTGTGGCTTCCAAAGGAATAATCAAGTTTGACTGAAGATATTGGGAAATGCTCTCTGAAGGAATTGTTTGATCTGTGCTTTTAAGGATGGGTAATATTTTAGCAAGAGGCTTGAGAGGGGAATGTATTCTGAATACGTGGCAAGCGTTTCTTCCAGCTACCACTTGCCCTGGCACCAGCTTGGTATAGCTCCAGCACTCAGTTGTTATATGCACTTGGGTAAAGTATTTTGAACAATTAATACTGGTCTGTGAAACATAATACTGCCTTGCAGGGTGCTTGTGATTTTTCAGTGAGATAGCATATAAAGTTCCTGGCATGCTCATATCAGTTCAGTCTAAATGTAGGTAGGGAAGCACTTGAGCTTAACTCAGACTCTGTTACCCAGAGGAGCTAGCAATAAGTTTCCAAAGCAGCTTTCAGGATCTGCTAGATGCCAGAACCTTTTTCAGGAAGAGCTAGAATCTTTTCTGTGGTTGGGTAGAGGAACAGTTGTGGTTTGGGCTGCAGGTGACGCTAATGTGGTGACTGTTGTTTCTAATAGTACAATAGTGCAGGTTTTAACAGCACCTCAGTGCGTACAATGGAATTATAGTAATGAACAGGACCGGCAAAGTTCCTGCTCTCCTGGTGCTTACAGTCTTTGGGTAGGGGTAGAAAGGACAGACAATAAAACGTTAAAAAAGCCCTTGCCAGTGTGGCTCAGTTGTTTGGGCATCTTCCTGTGCACCATGGGTTGCTGGTTCAGTTTCCTGTTAGGGCACATGCCTGGGTTGGGGCTCAATCCCTCAGTCTCAGGCAGGGGGTGTGCAGGAGGCAGCTGATTGATGCTCTCACTTTGATGTTTCTCTCTCTCAAAAAATAAATTTAAAAATATATATTAAAAAATAAATTCACAAGGTGATAAGAGCTACGAAGAAAGTAAAACAGCTTACTGTCATAAAACTGGCATGAGGCTGGGGAAGAAGCAGCTAAGTCAGAATCACCGGTCAGGGAAGGTTTCTGTGAGCAGGGGACATTTTGAGCCAGTTATTGAATGCCCTGAAGGAGCCATTCATAGGAAGTTCTGAGAGGAAAGAGATCCAGGCAGAGGGAACGTTCAGAGACTCTTAGGGGGAATGAGCTTGGCCGGTTAGCTGGAACAGTGAGTGGGGAATTGAGCTGAGAGAGGTGGGCGGAGCCCTTAGTTTAGAGACCAAGCTAGGAAGTTTGTATTTTATTCTAAGTGCTCTGAGATGCCGCTGGTGGATTAAGCAGGTGTTCTTATTAAATCTCAATAGATGGCCAAGCAAACCACAGTGGTAATTCCTGCCCTGCTGAAATAACCCCTGTGTGCCAACTGTGTGGTGTACACGAGCGATCAAGATTTCTTTCTAGCCCTGATCGGTTTGGCTCGGTGGATAGAGCTTCGGTCTGCGGACTGAGGGGTTACGATTCATAACAGTAGCAACATTACAGTTATAAAGTAGCAACGAAAATAATTTTATGGTTGGGTCACAACATGAGGAACTGTATTTAAAGGACCAGAAGGTTGAGAACCACTGCTAGATTCTCTAGGACCAAAAAAACACAGCAAAGAGTAAAGAAAAAATCATCTATATTTCTACCATGCAGAAATAACCACCACTTTATAAATAATGATATATTTCCTTTTAGTCTGTGCTGTTTTGTATAGTAGAAGCCATACTATAAAAACAACTTTGCATGCCTAACATTTTATCCTAAATCATTTTCCTTTGTCTTAAAAGATGACTGAATTATTTTTTATTGTGTTACTATTCTGGAATTAATGATCATCTCATGGTTGGACATTTGGATTTTTAAAATTTTTTCATGCTATGAATAATAATACCATGAACATTTTTAAAATTCAGTTTTTGTTTCCTTTTCATCTTTTTTTAACTCTTTTACTCTCTTCAAAGCATACGGTTGTGCCTTTTAACCAACCAAATAAATTTGGTGAGAAAGAAATGGTACCTCTGAAGTATCCTCCCACCTGCATTTTTAGATCAGTAAAAATGAACTATTTTGCATCTTTGCTTATTGATAGAGGGCTAAAGACCATTGTAAGATACGGAAATCGTAATTTTAAGGGCACCCTACTCAAACTGTCAAGTTATAAACCTTTAATCAGCCTCTGGCCTTGGAATAAGAAATCTGTTTCTAGATTATAAATAACTAACTTTGAAATATTTGTTTCCATTGAAATGTTTAAACCAAGAGAATACATAAATTCCTCCTATAAAACATTTGAAAGAAACCGAACTGAACCATTAATTTTATCAAGCATTAAAACAAATGCCCCTAGCCCTAGCCAGTTTGGCTCAGTGGATAGAGCATCGGCCTGCAAACTGAAAGGTCCCAGGTTCGATTCCGGTCAAGGGCACATGCCCGGGTTGTGGGCTCGATCCCCAGTGGGGGACTTGCAGGAGGCAGCCTGTCCATGATTGT